ACCTCCAGAACCTGTGAAAGACTCACAGAACAGATCCTTCCTCAGAACCTCCAGAAGAAAGTCACCCTGCTTATACACGGACCTTGGACTTCTAACCTCCTGCATTATGAGAGAATAAATTTCTTATTTTAAACTGCTCAGTTTGTGCTACTTTGTTATAGCAGCTCTGGGAAACTAATTCAGGGAGAAAACACAGACGAGGAGAAAATCAATAGATGACATCTCCAATTCTAAGTATAAATTCTTCCACTATCTCTGGCTGACCCCTGAACTGCACATGTATAGAGTAGTTAAGTCTAAAGTATTGGACAGGATTTTACTTACACAGATACAGAGTTTGGTTTAAGTTCAGCCAAATTAACTACCTGCTGAAACAACATCAACAAAAACCACAGTTCTCTTTGGAAGAATATAAATGAATTTCAATCCCAAGAACAAAAGAAAAACAAACAAAAACAAAAGAGAGTCCAAGTCTTTACAATATATCACTCACAGAATACAATTCCAAATTGCTAGACACATGAATAAACAGAAAAATTAGCAACCCTTACTCAAGAGAAAAGGCAATCAATAATAAATGACCAGATATGGATTTTAAAGTAATTAGTATAACTATTTTCAAAGAGAGAAACAAAAATATGACCACAGTGAGCTAATAAATAGGAAATAAAATCATTTGAAATTATAGAGCTGAAATTATTAAAAATAACTATTCGGAAATTATAGAAGTGAAATATGAACTGTCTGAAATAAAAAAATCCTGGAAGTTTAACAGAAGATTGGAGATGATGAAGAAATCATCAATGAGCTTGAAGGTAGGTCAGCAGAAATACAATCTCAAAGTAAAAATAACAGAGAGAAGAAAGATTTAAGAAAAAAGAAGAACAGAACTTCAATATCTGGGGCAATAGCAAAAATTTCAACATATGGTTAATTGGAGTGGAAAAATATATGACAAATAATGGCTCAAAAGACTTTAATTTATAGATTTAAGACTCTCACTGCAGAGAAAACCACACCGAGGCACACAATAATCAAACCATTAAAAAATAAAGGTAAAGAGAAAATCTTATCACAGAAAAAAGGCACATTATATACAAGGGAACTAGAATACAAATGACTTATTATCAGAAACAATGGTGGACAAAAAACAATGGAACAACATCCTTAAGACACTAAAAAAAAAACAAACTGTCATGCCAGACTTCTAGATTCAGTGAAAATATAAGGTAGTTAGAAAATCCCTCAAAATTTGGAAAATAAATAATATGCTTCTATTTTTCTAACACAGCAGAGAAACTCTCAAGATCAACAATTTATCTAAAGGTAGAGATTATTTTATTTATTTATTTATTTTTTAAAGATTTTTATTGGGGGGTTGAGGGGATGGGAACAGCGCTGGGGAATTGGGGGAAAGGGAATGGACAAGTTGCTGTCATTTTGTTCTTCAGTCTAGTTGTGGAAGACGTTGCTTCACTGGCCCAAGTTGGCACCATCATTGCACTCTTCCCAGGTGAGGCAGATCAGTCGCCAGCTTCTGGATGGCCGCTCACTGCGGCTGCTGGCCGCTCACGCTGGCTGCTGGCTACATACGGTAGCCCATGGCAAC